TAGTAATGGTAATAATAATAATAAGATATCAGTAATTATAACCCTCATGACAATAAATTAGACTGCAGCAGTGACCTTTTACATTAAAGGATGAAGGCGCACATGAACGAACCTATGCATTTTTAAACTTGACTGTGGAAAATCTAAGTAATAATAAACAGATAAATAAGATTATAACTTAAATTACTTAAGTATTAAGTAATTATGAAGTAACCTGTTCGAGATCAGCAAATCGCTCTTTGCACTGCTCACATTTGATTAACTTTTCACTGGGATGACGCCGAAGAATATGCCAAAGCAAAGCCCCTCGTGATGAAAAACGCTAAAAGTTGATGGCGTTACTGATAACTCATATCTAATATCAGTAGAAAAATTACTGCACATAAATATGCAATTTCTAAAAATAAAAAACAAAAATTGAAAAAAGTTATCGTAAAAAAAGGTTTTACAAAAAAAGCTCTCTAAAATTTGATAAATTACAAAAGAGATTAAAATTAATTTAACACTTAATCGTTCAATTTGGTTTCTTGATAACTGAACCACATGCATACTTCAAACAGTTATCAATTATTAAATTCTTCCAATTTGAATCAATTTTTAATAATCAATCTTGAGATTCACTTCATTTCTTATTTTTAGTTCTTATATAGTATATCATTAATTATTAGCATGAAAAATTACTAACTAATCCATAAAACACTTAACTGATGTAAAACAGTGCTTCATTATTTCATTAGCATACATGGACAAGTAAATTACAACCATACTTCGCATATTACTGATATTTTATGATAATCAACCAATTTACGCCATGTGATGACAAAAATAAAGTTTATGTCATTAATAATTATTATTCACATCCATATAATAATTACTAAAATTAGCACTTATATTGGAAGTTAACTAATAAACATATCATTACATTCACATTAACTTATCATCTCAAAATCTCTTTCGTATGAAATTATACATTTATAAAGAAATTTATTGGAATATTTCACTTAAAAAAAATTAAATAGAGAAAATATTAACATATTTTACGACGAATTATGCGTACAATTTTAACATTTGCCAGAAAATCAAGCAGAAAAAAGACTGCACTCATTTTTTCATTAAAAATTCAAATAACTCGAAATTATTCAAAATTACTTTGAGCTTAGTGCTTGCTTGAATTTTTATTTTTTCCAACAAATTTCATTAAAATTATAATTCTTGCGGTACTAATTTCATGGCAAAAACCTATAATAGAAGCTTTATAAAATTTTAATAAAAAATAATTTTTCAACCGAACTTTTGAATTTTACGAACATGTATGACATTAAAGTTGACTAAGGCCTGCTTATTTACTTTTCAGCTTAATAGGATGCCTCTTTTTTAATAATATACTGCAATTATTAAACTAAAACAAAAATTAAAACTGAATCACAACTATCTTGCAACTCTCTAACCATAATTATATTTGCAGTAAATCAATAAGCTTTTTACTTCAACTACAGTAAATAAAAAATTACATCATCAAGCTTTCATTTACGAGAAAACGTGAAAAAACGAGTGTAACGAAAAAATACCACAAAGTGAGTAAAAAAATAAAAATAAAAACCTGCTGACAACGTTCTGCAATACATGGATGTATTTTTTCCGCCAAAATACCGTTGCTTGATGGCGGTGATAAGACGTACGATGAGGTATTTCCGCCATCATCACTACTTTGCTCAGAATCCGTATGCGTACTATGATTAGCTGCCAGTTGCGCATAAAGTTCCAGTAGCTGCTAAAAATTTCAAACTTTTGACTAGTGTAAACCAACATAAACTTATTCATATTCTGAATGTAATATGCATTTCAAAAAATTTAAGTTCAACAAATATATTTTAGCATATTGTTATTTATTAATGAACAAGGCAGCACAATAGATATAAAAACGTCACAAAAATATCAAAAAATAAAAATAAAGAAAAATAATATGAATAGACAATCCTAATTATATATATACACATGATTATATATACATATTTTAAAAATACTAATTATAGATATATGCATGTTATCATTATATATATATACTATGATAGCATGCATAGTTCTATCCATTTTTTGCATAATCTTCAATCTGCAAATTAATTTTCGCTTAATATTTGGCTAAAATTTTCAACCGTTTAAACAATCCGTTTCTTGGTTCTCATTCTCTGCTCAACATTTTCACCTTAAATACCTTCCTGTGTACGTAGACGCCTCTGTCCCTCGACCTTTTTTCATTAAACTCAATCATTCATTAACTTTACAAAATGCATCCAAAACAAGTAAATAAACAAATAAATAATGATTATTATTTCCCCTGAAACAGTTAAATATACTCTCCGTACCAACTTGAATAATTCTACCCTTGAATAGGTTATAGGAACAGATAGGTAGATAGATTAATGCGCGGTTGTTTGCTTTCCGCACAGCTTTTTTCATCACAAGTTCTAATTTATTTTGAGCATAAAGAGTATAGTCGAGTCATATTTCAGGTAATAATTGCTCAAATAATAAAAAAGAGTACAAAAGGTGCCGCACCGGTTCCTCTGGTACAAACCGGGACAAAAACAAAACAAAACAAAATAAAACTTTCACTGTTTGCTAACGGTGTTGCATTTACAATTAATTCAAATAGAAAAATTGTTTTAATCAATCAATAACTTCAAAATTTTAATTGAAATTCACTTTTAAAATTGTCTATATTTAATTTTCGATACTTTGAAGACTTGTAAATATTTGAAACTTTCAGTTACAAAATTTCCGATCAAATAAGTGACCAATTTCGATTAAATTAGCTAATCAATTTACAATGATTACCTGTTGATGAGACTGCAATGTTTGCAAGGGATCAAAAAGCAGATTCGATTTATCTTCCAGGATGTTTTTTCTGTCGAGATCATCTAAGGTATGCTTTTTTGAAAGATCGATTGGTGCCGATTCCACATCGGAATTTGGCGTTGTATTTGAATTCTGAAGACTATTTTCATGTAGTAATAATGCAAAGATAGAACTTTCATAAAAATTACAGAAAAATAATTTAAACTTGATTCATTGAATTGCTGC